CGATCAATTTGAGAAGTGCTGAGAGCAGATTTTTGCATTGGTCTGTGTTATGTTCGTGCCCCTTGTGATAGGTGTAATACTTCGATCTGTCGAGCTTTCTCAAGTCTGTATAGATCGATTTTGCCTCGGGTATCAATCCTTTGCCTCTAATCTCTTCATATAAAGCGGCAGCTCCTACGGTATAAATCCCCTGGTAGCTCTCCTTCAACTCCTCAGTCTTTTGTCTTTTCCGTTCGACCCTCTCGACACTTTCCTTGCTTTTCTTCCCGGGCTTCTCGGCCTTTGACTTCTGCTTTTCAGTTGTTCCGTCTAAATTCGGGATAGATATTGATTCTTTGGCCGAGATATAATTTTGGGCCATTTCAAGAATTCCTGATAGGTGGCCGGTTTGTTCTGACAAAACGACCATTTGAACAGCGTCTTCGGTTTGAGACCGGCTTGGACGGACACGAGTAGAGTTTTGGGATGGCATTGCTTCATGTTCTGCACCCGGTCGTTGAATTGGGCAAGATAATCCCTCAAACTCTCGTCCTCGCCTTGGACGATGTTGGTGATGGATTCCTTGGGGGCAAGATTGATCTGAGATCCGATGAAATGGGACCTGAATGCCGACCTCAGTTGGCTCCAGGTCGAGATGGAATATAGGTATAAGGAATTATACCAGCGCTAGGTTTTCGCCCCTAAGGTTAAAGAAAACATTCTGCATCGCAAGGCGTCAGTGCTCTCGTGCAGGTCCATCCACGAAGTGTAGAGGCCGATGTGGGAGTCCGGATCGGTATTACTGTCGTATAGGATAATCTGGGGAACCTTGATCTTCTGAGGCACGGGCCCTTGTAGGATGTACGGGGAGAGAGGAGATGCGTGGTCCACGATCTACTGTTCGAGGGGGGGAGAAGACGGCCTCCCATGAGTCTCGAGCCGAGCTTCCAATTCAGCGATTCTTCTTTTCAGGATTGTAAGTTCATCGGAGTCGCGCCCGATGGCCTTTCCTCGTTCTATGACCTCCCTGAGGTCCCGGTCGATTTGTGTTTTCTCCCTCAAGTGCCGATAGACCGACATGCGAGCGTTCACCTCCGCGCCCGGCCCCGGCTGACTTTTGCCGGTCTGCTCGGTGGGTGCCGGTCTGGCACCTTTTGGCGGACGATGAGAGAGCGATGGGGGGACTGGGCGATAGTTTTTGAGTGCGCCGGCCCCTTACCTCGCTCCTCGGCATCCTTCTGGGGTGTCTTCAGCAGGGTGTTCCCTGCGGGGACCTCGGTGTTTTGGTCGACTTGGCCGCCAGGGGTTGCGCCTGCAGCATTGCCATCGGGAGTAGTACCGGCAGTGTGGCCGGTGAGAGCTCTTGCGAAGGCGCCCTGTAACACCTTAAGGACGTCATGGTGTTGCATCACCGAGGCGAACGTTGCAGGGGGGACAAGTTCCGGTTACCGTTGGTGTGGCGTCCCTTCGCTTCGTGGCGGTAGTTCTGTCCGCCAGATTGTTGAGCGGACTCATCGTGTCAGGGTGATGTCATTTTTCACGATGAAGCTGAAAAGGACAGAAAGGTAGTGGAGTTCACAAGCAAAAATTCGACACCAAACAACTTATGGTGCCCCTTCCTCTAGCGCCAAACTGTTGACAGACGTTTCCGGTTAACAGTTAATTAACTCTCAGGTGAGATTATTTAAGAGAAAATAAGATGGAGGGAAATGGATTTTTTATTAATCTAGGGGCCAGCTCGGCTTTCGACACTTGTAGTTGACATTTTGTTGTGTTTACGGAAAATATTACAGGCTCTTTAGAGAGAGAAAATGTGCTATTTCTATAGAATTAAGTGGGTTCAATCAACCCCTCAAGGTGAAATAAATGAGCTATTTATAGTACTCTCAGCTGGGTACTGTTGGGACACTGTTCATGCCGTCCCGTAGTACAGTAGAATGGAATGACAGGCAGTGTCAGGCATTTAATGCAGTCAGTAGATTGGCCGTGATAATCCCTGCAGCATTAAATGCCAGCATGGGGTGCATTAAATGCTGCCAGGCCTAGGCATAGGTTCTTGCTTCTTTTGGGTAACTGGCTCTTACGAAAGGTCCCATCAATGTATCATTATCTGAAGCCCGTCAAAACCTCGCTGACCGACCTCCAACGGCGACATCTTCCTACTCGGCCTCCCAGCCTTCTGCAGTTCGGCACTTGACGTCAGTTGACCTTCCTACCCTCGGGGCCACTTTTCGAAGTCGCTACCTCACCAGCTCGGCACAACGTCCCAAGGCGCCGGGGTGCCTACTCATCCTTTGAGCCGTCCTTGTGCTCACCACCTTTGTATGATCTAGTCCGGCGTCGAGTAGAGATTGGGTCCTCGGCCGGTCTGCCCCTATTGTCTCCTAACCGGGCGAACAATTAAGATGGTCAACTCGGATATCAACATTCTGATTGATAAATAATTATTACCATGAGCACAATTTATTCCACCTAGGAACATCTCTTAGAAAATTTCTAAGTCATCAGCTTCTTCCACACCTTATGTCCAAATTTGTAAACTCGAACTTCATTGTGGATCTAGTTGTATACTTAGATTATTTTCATGACACTACTCTACCCACTTAAAGTGAACACTTGGTCACTTTTCGTCTTAGAGTTTTTGCATGTCCAATACTCGATTCAACGTGATCAAAATTCATCGCTCGACTTACTCGTGGACATCTGAGTTTGCTCACTAAAATGCAACATTGGGACGAGTACTATCCGACAAGCACCTTAAGCATCCAATTATTCAACATACTTTTTCAGAGAAACTAATTATTCTCAAATTATTAGTTAAGTGTAGAGTCAATTTTACATTCACTTTAGCTTGAGGTATTATCGAACTCATTTAACCTCTTCAACATACATTTGACATGATGAGATTGTGTCAAACAATTACTTCTGATCTATTAGAAACTTAATCTCCAAACTTACGTCGAAATTTCACAAACTTTAAATGTCAAAGTTTATCTTCTTGGTATTCATGAACACATCATGATTATAATCCAAGATCATCATATTGTTTACACAAGACTTGTGATCACAAAGAGTCGGAAGAACCTTCATAGACTCAATTTGTCATTCAATGAATTTGAAGCCATTCGACAAAATTATTTCAACAAACATTTCATGTCATTAATTAGGTATTGCCACCTTGGCCTAAATACCTTCACATTTCAAGGTATAGGTACGAATGTTTTTGCTCTTTTTATAACTCAAACGGAGTTAATATCTACCTTCGTGTGGTGCTTTCAATTTTGTCGTAATAATTGCTTATCACATAAGCTTTTAGCTTAATAAGAAAATATCAACTACTCAAGAGTGATTATTTCTTTTAACTATTTCATTGAATATCAACATCATTCTTATGTGGCTTATAGCTACAAAAGCTTTATGACAATACATTGTGCATTCTTACAATATATTTTCGACTCGAGTCTGCAAAAACTCTTAGATAACGTTTATCGATGTGACTTATCTCGAGAGGACTAGTCAATTGAGCAACCTTTTAATACGATGCTTTTTTCACTTTTCATTTTAACACGATTTTCATATTTGTTGTATGAATCAACTCATTCACCAACTTCTAGTGTTAAAATTCACAAGTCTTAATTTATCATGCCATAAATTAGAATACTCAATAAATAAGACCAAGTTATTTATCTTTTACGTCAAACAATTGATTAAAATTTTTACAATAATTGTTATATGACCTTCATTAATGTCTACTTATGCTAAGAATATATCATATTTCGACAAACATATTTGTCAATGATCACAAACTAATCTAAATTCGGCCTTACTCAATTAATGGTCCGAAAACTAGATTCTTGTGTATGTCTTGGGCATGAAGAACATCCATGAGATCCAAAATTAATTCTTAGCACACTACCTTGTCGGTTCCTCCAACACTTAATGTCGAAGAATTACACAAATACTTTCTTCCTTAGTTAAGGTTATAGGACAGTATTTATAAGCGCCTATTGGTCAAGTGGCTCTTTTTCTTATCCGCTATAAACGTGGAACTTTAATCAAGTATGTACTCTAACCACGATGAAAAGATCGAGCTCTGACAAGTATTATCTTGTCCTCGACAATTTGCACTATCCTTTACCCCTTTTTAGAAG